TGTGTAATAGGACTGAAATTTGAAGCGTGAAGAGAATAATGTAAAATGGTGGTGCAGAATGAGGTGTGGAGCGGTTTGAAATACAGATTGGGTACTTTATCTAATAGTGTCTACCCATATTCTTATTTACAGGAATTATATATCTATAAAAAAACATCATAGTAACTATTATACTATTTTGAAATATACTGATCTTTAAACAGCCTCCTATTCAGCATTGAAACCGCACAAAGAAGCCATTTGGCGCAACTTGACAAACACAGGACAGATCAGTGCTCAAAGGAGTAAGATCAATTACAAAACTTTATCCCCTCCTGAAGGCTATATGATCACAGAAAGCAGATAACGACTGTTCCTATCGAACTAGCTGTATATAGGAAACGATGTGAGGGATGTGCATTTTGATCATATTATTTTTTTAGTTGGGTAAAATAGTGGGTAAATAATTCTTTTCCAACTATTTTTATTTTTATTTTTAAATTTATCATTTTAGTTTTTTAAAAAATCATAACATATGAAAGACAAAAAAAATATGGAGATCCTTCCATAAAACCATCATAACGTAGGACATAATTGGTTTGTTTTTGTTTATATAGTGAAATATATTGCAACTATTTAACATTCAATGTTATTACATTGCTCCGTCCCCTGAGGTTCATAAAATCCTCTATGTGTTTGTTGGGAACGCTTCCACATATACCAATGACCCAATCAAACAATAAGTTTTTTCAAATTATGTTTATTCTTCCCAACTTCCACAAGTGCTATTTACAAAAAGAGTGAAAAAACATAAACCAGTCACATAAGTTTGGTTATAACCTTTCAGCATGCCAAGGGTAGACTTGAACGTTTTGGCCCTCCTCTACAACATCCTCAGAACACCCTTGTGACAGCCCCAAACAGCTCTCTCTTTAAGCCCCCAAAGGCGTTTTAACAAACATAACGTTAATGAATACAAATATTTCAAGACAAACCTTTTCTCTGCTTAAACTACTCTCCTAATTGTCCAAATTATTTATTATTAACATTACCCTACCCCTTTAATTTCTCTTCAATGTGAAAGTGGAAGTTTTAACATCCAAAGGTAACACTGTGTAAATTTTAAAAATGCCAAACTACGTTAAGAACCTATTAATCGCCAGTCCAAAATAATGATAACGGAAGCCCTTAGAGTTGGGAGGAGTCCCCATTCCCCACCAGACTGCCCAAGAAGAATACTTTAGTCTGATAAATTACGCGGATACTCTCCAGAACGTCTCCGGAACATTTTTGACAGTCGCATGCGAGAAGTGCAATGTAAACAAAGACCACGAGTCAGAAAACGCAAGCAGCCCCTGCGCATATAGGCAGGCTGCAACTGCACTGAGTTTATTAACCATGAGATCTATTAATAAAGTTATTATAATAAATAGTCAGTTTATAAACGCGGTGTGAAGATGAAGAGAACGCATAGGAGGGTCACCCTGTACTCACGTAAGCTGAAAGGAGGAGAGATTGGAACAGGCGCGGAAGCGGTGTGCAACCATGGAGTCTATAAAATAATATCTTCTGGATAGGGTATTAACAATGTTTGCACATATTTTAACCAGATCTGGTGGATAGCTAGTGGCCGGGTTCTTTGGGGTTGTCATGATGGGACTGGCAGTCATGACCTCGAGTAGACAGTAACTCTCGCGCGACAGGTATATCAGGAAATGGTGTCCCCCCCCTTCAGTGAATGGGGATAAAGTTAAGTGTGGTACTCCCGTGGGAGCTGTGTTCAGGAGAGAAAAATGAGGGGCTCTAATGCAGAGGGGCATCCTGGTTAACCTCCGAGGTACATCCCCTGACTGCAACGACACCGTGTGCCGCTCAGAGGCAGGAGTAATCGAAGCAAACAGGCTTCCCTATTCACTTGTACGCTGCCCGAACGGAACAGTTTTCAAGGATTCCAGTTGGTTCCTTTCGCCTTTTCGAGACCTGTTATCATACAAAACCTGGATGATTTCCTTCCACTGGCTGGACACCTGAATTTCCCTCCTTACGGGGGATTCTATCTATCAAATATCTACAATATTGGAAAGCTGGAAAGGAAAACCATGGTGCCTCCGAGGAATGCTCCGCAGTACTAGTCAGGACTAAAAACAAAGACTACAATGCCCACGTGTGGCTACACAGAAAATGTTTCCCATTTTAATAAAATTAGAGGAATACCGGTTGATCAAAGTCTCTCTTTACTTTTGTATTCTCAAACTTACGATTGTGGGAAAACAAAAAGTATTTTTTTAATCTCACTTTGCCATGCGTAATGATGGGGATCTATCAATGCCCTGTTATTTGGTTTATTTGTTGAAATAATTGGCTCACAGCAACAAAAAAAAAAAAACACAAACGCGCCAAATAAAACCATTGGGGGACTGTAATGGCCTGATTCATCTAATGGATGATTAAACCAAATTCCTCAAGTTGCTGATTGGTGGTTGGAGGTGGAGTTGATTATCCCTTTTGGAATAAGATTAAGAAAAACAGCACTGAATTTAGGGATGTAACAAAGAATACTATTTAAAAGCCTTACAATACAGGAAGTGAGCAGTGATGAATGCCACTATATTACCGTTTTTAACTTGTTCTGAATCTAAATCCATTATAATTAAAAGTAAGCAGTCGCACAGGGGAGGGCAGTAGGAGCAGAGGTATATCTGGGCGGGGGAGGAGTGGAGACTGTCCCAGAACCGAGTGGGATCTGGCCAACCCACGGTGGACAAAGGCCCCGACCGGGGGGACTGGATTGCTCCATTTTTTCATCACTGGGGAGCTTTACGCATTAATTGGTAATTGATTATACGTTTAAAATGATGGATAGTATGCCTGTTGAAAATTAAAAAACAACTGCCATCAATTGTGGATGAGCCAGAGCGCGGCAGTGGGAGGAAATTAAACAGAAGGCAGACTCAGGAGAAGGCCACAACGTTACACCTGTCAAAGGAGTTCGTAATTTTTTTTTAATGGCCGACTGGGAAAACAAGCAGGCAAGTCCTAAGTTAGCCCTTTGAAACAGTTGGTTTTGTGCTGTTATACAATTGTTTTATTGTTCTGCTATGCTATTAATGATTCTCTGTTGCTTGCAGTACAGTGATGTTCAATGGTTTTGGCACTGGTTCCAGTCCGGAGTTGGAGTGTAATCATGGTTCCCGAACGAAAAAATTTTTCCACTGGAATTGGATTCCAACTTTTTGAAAAAAGGCTAATGGAAAAGCATCAGCATTCTTCCACTGTTGGACTAGAGCAGAAGAGAAAATGGTCCCCGAACCAAGCCAGTTACTCCACCTCTAGCTGCTTGTGAACCTATAAGTTACTGTTGCATTTTAATTCATAATTGTTTATGCTATTAAAATGTAGAATTATTTATTTAATTGGGTTTTGTGTTGTTCTGGCATGGATTAGTTGTTTCTGCTAGCCTACCTGGGGACCACTTTCAATTTTCCTCAACTACAGGGGGGTTGTTCAATAAAGGTAATCTAATCCATTCTATCTAATCTAAAAGGATTTGTAAAACATTTTTTGCTATTAAACTGTAAAGTGGAATGGCAAACTGGTTTTTTGAATACGAATTGCTTGGTTCAAAGGATTACACAAACTAACAAAGGTCCATACACAAAAGTACTGAAACGCTATATGGAACCCGCCTACTAAACTTTGCATTCTCTTTAATTCACACATGCTGTAAATTATGGGGTAAGGGGTGGTCCAGGCAACAAACAAAAGTAATTGAAAAATTATTTGTAAACCATGTTTACAACGCTTGTAGGGGTTTTTTACAGCCATAACTCACTATTTTAAGGAAGAGGTGATACAAGTACCATCCATGCTCCTGGCTCTATTGTCCTTGTAATAACAATAATGGGCACATTGTGGAGCCACTATGACCATCACAACTCACCAAAAAACAAAAAGTAAATCTTCATTTTATATATAGCCAACCTTTTCACCAGAACCCGGTGTCACAGAAGCGTTTCGACTGACATCAGTTGTAGGCATTTGTCCCCTCTCACTCGCACACAGAGGATTTTAACAATGACATGGCTGTGGTTTTGCAGCATGTTCATTTTCCAATTCTGGAAATATAAAAAAAGCGGTGATAACTGAGCAATAGGGCAATCAATAGAATTATTTACCCGTCATACTGTAAACTATTTTCTACTTCAAATCTGAAACATGAAATGACAAAGTAAATAGTCTCATTATCATTTTTAATTACCGGAAATAATGCAACTTATTTTTTCTTTAATTAAATGAGAGCAATTGCTGCATGTTGGACAACGCATAATTACCGGCAGAATCAGGCGCGTGCACATTCTAATGATGTAATAATCAAAAATACACAAAACTCAAATGCGTCTATGGAAATGAGAAGTCAACTGACATTCCACCAACCGATATTTGATGCGTCTTCCACACAAATGAGGCGAGGAAGGCGTAAACAAGGTGGCATAAAATTAACACCATGAAAAATAATCAAAGTTGGGCAATGAAGCCGGAATATTGCGGTGTAGATGGGGAGAGTGTGAGCTGGAGTCTTGCGCTGTAGCCTTGCTCTGGCTCGCACTGGGGGTGGAGGCAGCATTTCAAGTGTTATGGAAGGGAGCGTGCGGTGTGACTCCGCGCCGTAAATTAGCCATGTGCTCTGGCCTGCAGCGGTTCACCTTCAGAGCCACAGAGAATTACACCGGAGCCATGTCAAAACAATTGGAATGCAAATCAAATACCTCTGGGGTGACTTTGGTCTCCCGGGATCGAGTAATCTACCCTCTCCGATTCTGCGCTTTGCTTTTGTGGAGTGAAATATTGATTTTGGCTGAGCATTTTGTAAATATTAACCTCCAGACACAACGAAAGCTTGGTTAAGTGTCCAGGCAAAAGGTGGCAGCTTCTTTATTGGAGTGGAGTCGTCTGTGAAGTATTATGACAGTGGACTCAAGAACAATGTAGATTAAAACGTCAACAATTAATGCTGGACTAACTTTGAAACTACAAAAAATTATGTAATAAAATCCTGGTAAATAGTTCCTTGCTCTCTAAACATTTTTTTTCTTTCACATACAAATCTTTTTGGGCTCTGTCACATCTTCAGATCAACGTTTTCAGACATTCAATTCAAATAATACTTGTACAGCCCTAATTCACAAAAGCTCTGGTCTTGGAGTACTTTACAAAATTGTCCATTTTGCCAACAGTAGATTTGAGAATCAAATAACTAGAACACAAGAAATGCTATTATATGAAACATATTAATTGGTCCATAGGAGAGCCCTCACTCAGCCAATCAGCTCTCAGTATGTAAAAGACGACTCGTTTTCTATTAAGACGAAGACAGTATTGTGTTACTTAACCCAGACTTTTCTTTTTCATGTATTAATGCAACAAAATACAGTTAGGTACTCTAGCTTTAAAGGAACCATATTTATTAATATTTCTTATTTCATATATCTACATTGTTTGTTGTCCGAGATAATAGGAAAAATCAAAATACAATTTACAGTCTATGGTATAAACTTGAGTTTCAAGCTAATTATCCATTCAGAGAAAAGAAGGAATCCCTCATTTGTGTTGCCAGTTTTTTATGTGAAATTTATTCTGTTTAATAACAAATTTCCCAACCCAAAAAAAAGCTCCACAGTTGTTTAAATGAAAGCATACACAGAGTTTGTACTGTTTCTAGTTAAACCAGCAGGTGGATTGCATCAGTAACCCGTGCTTTGGAGTTACAGGTGGTTAGGGTTGGGATAAGATTCTGGCAAAGTTGGATTGAAATTGTAATGACTTTATTAGACCATTAAGAGTGCGTATCACTTACGTCCCCTTCAATTATTCATGTAACGTAGTGAAGCAGTGAAGCTTAGTGAAGGTCAGTCAGAAGAGTGTGTGTTACAAAAACTGGTGATAAATGATAGCACAATGAAAAGAGTAAGCGACTCTCACCCTGCTTATGGAGAAGACAAATCCAGGCTGTCCAGAACATACGCCCATGAAGCAGAAACGTAGCTGCCAGTAGAACCAGTGCTCGCAGATGAATGTGATCAGAGACAGGGCCATAGCAGCGCCCAACATGTAGAAGACTCCGGCCATGTTGTCTATGTCCAGCTGGCTTGACATAACCTCATTCTTCTCGTGGTGGCAGATTCCAGTCAGCCACAAGGATTCCAGCTCCTCCATCTCACCTAAAGAGCGTGCAACATTAGCATTAGCATTGACAAGATGGCGATATACAGAGATGACAAACACAACTCATAAATGGAGACTTAAAGACACAGGTTAATGACAGAGGTTCAATGAATAGTACGACAGATTTATAAGGTGTGATGTCACCCCAGTCATTGCTTGTGGAGAAGGGAAGGATCATTGTATTTGATTGATAGAAATATAGTAAAATAAAACTCGGCGATGCTACAAAAAGATGGGATGAGGCCAATGTGAGAATGACTTTATATTTGATACATAAAATGACTGGTGACTATTTGAGAATAGTGCTTATGAGATGGATGGACTCTGGCTGGTAAGGTGTGCAGCTGCATTTGGATCAGCAGGGGTTTAATTAAATATAGCTACAAAAACACGACAACTGACTGCCTATATCTTATGTAACTCAATCCACCAATGTTGCTGAATCCAATTGTGGTTGACAAATTTTCAAACGCACATATTGTTTTGCACTTTTCGCGAGGCAATCCTTTGAGAGAACACATATAGCTGAAAGAAAGCAACCGACCAATGGGAGCAAGAAGAAGCTGCTAAAAAGCAAAGCATGCGGGGAGTGAGAAGAACACTGTTAACTTAAGAAGATGATGTAATAAAAGATGGAAATGGAGGACACAGAGAGAATGACGCAAGACGAGGAGAGAGGAGATGACACTTAGACGGAAAGGAACGGGGTGATATTTGTAGAGGAGAAGCAGAACAGGGAGAGAAACACATGCCACTGGTCAAATGTTAATTACATCGATCCTATTTGCTGCCATTTCACTTGCAGACTGTGCCAAGGAGTGCAACATAAGTAATGTGTGAGGAGCGGTGCAGCAGGCTGGTCCCTGCCTCTCTGCTCTTTGTGGGTCACCTTCAGTTTCATCACGGGCCGCTCTCTATCAAAGCCGACTGGTGCGGGACAGACGCTGCTTAATTAATCATCCAGTCAAGCTGCTGTCGTTGCACATCCGCCTGGTGTGGCAACAATGCTTTTGTACAAACAGGGCAACAATCTACCAACTGGAATCTCGCCGACAACTGTTGTGTTCAACAGTTTATACTCTCGGCAGTTGTGCTAGAAAACTCCAAGGTGAGCTCATGCACCAAAGTACACTAACTAAAGAAAGCTGCTTAAGCAAACACAAGAGCTGAACTCAATAATTAGGGCTTTGTTAAGTAATTCTAGCCACACTTTGGCTGAGAGTGTGGACTTTCTAGGCCAACAGGACAATGAGGCGTGGCCAAGTGACATTGAAATGCTGAAAGGACAGACGGGGCAAGCTGAACGCCTGCATTGGTCCTTGCTGTTGCTGAGCCTCAGAAGAGATAATAAGACTTTTATAGTGACAGAAACAATGTTTAGTATTGTACTTTTACTGCATCCACTACATCAACTCATCAATAATGGAAATAACAGATTATACATTTCTTTGTTAATACTGTACATTGGTTATCCTGCCACTGCGGAACAAATGTATTGTATAAACCCCTCATTTGGTCATTTTCTCTGCAATATGATACTTCAGTGAGTTCAAAGACCCGTTAATGTACAATTATTTATTTGTGACAGGCCAGATCAAATAAAAGTGTCACTTTGTCAGTGGCATAAACTAGCATACATATTTCTAAATCTTTTTTTTTGAAAACTTTCTCTGTAGCAATCAATATTTGTGATCAGAAATGTGTTATGGTAAGCTGATTAATAAAGTGGTGCAACATTGCTGTCTGTTTCACACAGTATGTGCCAGAGGCTGACCCATATTCACACAGAGTCAAAATGCACCAGGAGCTATGCTGGCACCCCTATCTGGGACGCACTAGTGGGCCCCTGAGGGCCCTTGGTTCTGTTCACAACACACTGTATCAAACCCAACTAGCTACAACAGACTCACCAAACTTCCGTGGCATTGTCATGTCTTAGTTTTCTTGTATATTAAATTGGGACATTATGAAGTGAGGTTTTGAAAAGAGACTAGACGTCAATGTGAATAGTGTAAGTAAAATAGTTTTTGGTTAGATGGCTCGAGCTCATTACATCTTGCTGGCTGCTCAGTCTCAGATTCATTAATGTTGCTACTCAAGCTGACAAGAAACGAGTGCATTTCAGAAGTACAAGCCCTGGAGAGCTCGGACATTCTCCCCCATTAAACTCTATCAAAAAATAATGGCCTCCAGCACAGCTGAAAATCACATTACAACTCTAAAAGAGTATATTAAGTCACAAAATTACTAACAAAAGTGAAAAATATTTCCCTATTTAAAATAATGCAGACAGGAAATATTTGTTTAGACAACCAACCTACTTGCCCTACAATAGAAGTGAAAAAAACCCTAAGAATTACTTTTTAACGCCCCAATAAAAGCATTGTGTACAATGGATATACACGCATTCATTCAAAACAATAAAAGGTTGAGCCTGCTTCTTACCATCTCCAAAAAGCCCCAAAATGGCCAAGTCTATGGCTCTTTTCCAGAGCGACTCCTTCTGTATAGCAATGCCATATCCAGTAGTGGCAAAAATGTAACCACTGCCGATGGTCACCAGTTTGCAGCCCTCGTCCCTTCCAGCCATGTAGTTCAGGACAGCAGCGTCATAAATGAAGGCGTCTAGTTTGCTGATGAAAAAAGACCGGGGAAAATATAAGTTACAATTAATTAGCATTTAGAAGCCAGGCGATGCAGCTTTACCATTCCAATTAACCTGCTAAATAGTGCTAAGCTGCTGATAAGTGTAATAGACTTCCGCTTGATTTGCCAAAGGCTGGAGCTGGCACACAAATGAGCAAAGAGGAACAGTTGATGAAACTGTGCTGGAGAGAAAGATAATGGCCATAGTGCCAAAGCATATTCAAAATTGTGTTCATACAATGTGTAGATTGTGCGTGAAGCAATATTTATTTTCAAGGTTACTATTTTATTATTTATTACTTATATGTGCTTAGTATAAAATATTGACATTTAAATTCTTCAGTTGACACCTAAAATCTCTCTGATAAAGATAATGGTATGACTGGTCAAAGTGCGTCACTGAAGTCATCATTCATTCATTCCACTCTCTGTGGTGACAGAGAGTGGTCCGTCTGTCCGACTACACAACGTTCACTCATTCAGCAGGTTCATACTAGGAGCATGTTGTGGTTGTCGGAGAAACTCAGAGAACGCTCATCCAGACTCGGGGGGAGGAATGAGCACTAACTACACTGTGCCCTTGTGTTGCTTGTGTGTTTAAAAACTCTGGAAGACTGACTTAAGACCTAAAGGATCTCACCCAGCCTTCAGACTCCCCAGGGCCTCGTTCACATTTCTCTGATGAAACTTTGTCATGTATCCGTGCATCTCAGGATAGTTGTTCCTGATGTTCCTCTCTGTGCTGCCGTTAGGGACTGTGCCAAACCGGAAAGGGGGTGAAAAATCATTGGGGCTCTGGAACTGGATGTTGAGGACAAGGCGTTAATAATACATGTAAACCAACCTGTTCAATTCAGATCAAGTGTTTATGGTTACCTTCTTGTCAGATAGACCAGTCACCTGGTCTACATACTCCTCCTGGATCATGAAAGCAGCCAGGTTGGCAGTGTAAGAGGCCAGAAATATGACAGCGAAGAAGGCCCATACCGACACCATGATCTTACTGGTGGTGCCTTTGGGGTTTTGCACAGGGACAGAGTTGTTGAAGACCAGACCCCAAAGCAGCCAGATGGCCTTTCCGATGGTAAAGGACGGACCGTGTGGCTCTAAAGGAAGCACAAGGCAGTGTTAAGACCTTCTTTATATGTTCTTCATACTGGTGGGCATTATATTGCCGTTTTGCCCTATGCAGTTATCCTTCAATAGAGATGTGTATGTGCAAAAACACAAACAATGTTGATATTTGAACTTGGCTTGTGTGGGTGTGCGGCGCCTGCAAGTCTCTGTTCTTAGAAAATAGGTTTAGCAACTACCATTCCTTGAGCCTGCTTAGTGAAGTAAAAATATATACAGTGTCATAAAATAATATAAGTTCTTGATCATTTTAAAACGGCAAAATAATCATATTTTTGAGTTCAGCTAGTCCCACAAGGAGACAAAACACCAAAGACACACAGAAAGAAGGAGCACATTTTTCCAGGACATGATGAAGGATGAGATAAATGAAATAAGATAGACGTGGTTATATATAGCTACATCAGGGATGGGAGCAGTGGGAAGACATTGATTTTCCCTTTTAGTTTTCTCTTTGTTTCTTCTTATTGTGGCAGCAGAGATCCAAAGTACAACCAGACCTTGGCTGTCAGGAATGACTGTAATTTAAGGCATTATGGAAATAAATGCAAATGAGGTTCTAAGGAAAACTGAGAGAGCTGTGTGTATAAGACACACCTGTAAATGGTAAACAGTGGATGTGGAGGATGAGAGTCAGCCTGATGCTTTCCCAAAATGCTGAGGGTGCACTTTGTGTCTACACATATTCTATGCTGATCAATGCGACTGGAAATGCCAAGTCCATAACCTCAAAATGATTTCAAAGACAAAAAACATGCAATCTGCCTACACCGGTGGATTTTGCAGCAGAGACGGGAGGAACTGTCCCTCGTGCGACTGTGTAGTTTTATAACCTCACCTGATCCACATCAGGTAAGTAATGGACTATACAATAGTTTGATTTTATTGTTATTGCTGAACACAGGAGGGTTAAATGCAGAGTCTGAAACGCTCTGCATTTAAACAGAAATCTGTGCAAGGAAAGACCTCAAACAAACTTTCTGTGTTCGTGCAGTGAGAATGAGGCTTGTATATTACATGATTCAATTAATGATACACACAAGGGATATAAGCAAAATTCGAACATTTGTGCAGCGTTAGTATTTCTGTTCTGAATCCACTTTGTATGATATAATACAACCTTATATTCCTTTCCAATGAAGTGTACTTCCCAATATCTATTCCATATACTGACGTTCTAAATAAAAAAATAAAGGACTTTTACTAATCCAGTCTACTACGAATTCTCAATCTTTTGTTTTATATGTTACAGCTGTGCCTACTTACAACCATTGTTTACTATTGACTAGTATGAAGGTGAGTAATTAACCTATGAGTGAAATATAAAAGAAACAGCATAATAACTGGTTTACAGTAAACAAGAGAAAATGTGATATGAAGTAGCTTCAAAAAGTGGAGGCAGAAGAATCTAGCAAGATGTATCAACACAAAGGTGCAATGAGTGTGGTGCGGAGCATCTATTTTCACAAACAGCCCACTACCATTGGCAGAGCAGGTTTGTGGAGCTTGCTTACCTCGACCATCAGCCAGACAGCGGTTGTAGCCCACAGGGCTCAAGTACTCGAACACAAACACAGCCATCGCTGACACTAGCAACAGCATCACGAACATCATCACCCACACATCCGCACTGAAGGGCTCTGGAGGACGCAGCAGGAGCAGCAACATGAAGGTAGAACAGAGAGCACGAGGGTGGGGGCAGGAATGTACAATAAACAAGAGAGAGAGGAAGGCAACCAAAAAGAGTTGGAGAAATATGTTCAGCAGAATGATAAAAGGAAGGACGAGTGAGAGAAAATGAGTAGGAGTGGGGAATATAAGAGCAGAGGGCAAAAAGACAAAGTTAATATATATTTGGAGCATATATTACTACAATAAGTGACCCTTTAAAGTTACATCAAAACCACACTTGTACGGTAGTCTTTCACAGTCCCTCTAGCACAGGTCTGCACAGGTCTGTAACAGCATCAGCTCATCACAAATGAACAGTCTCACCTAAGAAAGCCGAGGGCGAGACTGTGCCGTTGCTCCGGGAGACCATCACGCTGATACCGGTCTCAATGAAAGGTACAGAGAAGTCAATGACTTCTGATCTCTCTTCGTTGATGGTCAAGGAGCCAACAGCCATGTGTGCGTTCTTTAATACCACCTAGATACAGAAAGTAAAGACGATTTCAAACATTTGTGACAGACCATAGACTATGAGATGGAAAAGGAAAAAGGCTTGAAGTTTTTTTTTTTCTCCTTACGAGACAATTCCATCTGGTGTTTGATCACAATGGCAATGAATTGAAAAAGCAGTCAAACTAAGGTTCCTCTTTTTTATGTTTAATCCACGATTCCCAAGATGTGGTTTTTAGTGTAGTTTGTAATTTTAAAAAACCCTCATTTTTTATGTGTTCCTAAAGTCAGAAGTCAGAACCCAAGGATTTCACAAGATATGAAAACCTCATAAAGACTAACAGATATTGTTTGACCTCTGTCATTGCCGACAAAAGATAAAAAGAATTAAGATGGACTTTTGTTATTGACTAAATACTTATTATCCACACAAAAATTGCTAAAACATTCTTTAAAAATCAAATTTCAGATTTTTTCATTTTCTTTTTTTGTCTCACATAGTTGAGGTATATCTGCAATGAAAATTACAAGCCTCTCTCATCTTTTTAGGCGGGAGGACTCGCACGATTGGTGGCTCTATACTTGCCCACTGTAGGAGTGATTGGCGCTCGTGCATCATGGCACAAAGGTCGTCTGGGTGGTTTCTTCAGCTTAAAATATCCTCTACAGTATGAATCTAATGTAAGGTGAAGGTTCAATGTCACAGATTGGTTTAATTAGCTAACATCCATGCTGGACCATGGCTGTCGCCCCCACAGGACACTATAATACACATATTTATATAGATATATCGTCTTTGGTCTGTCTGACCCACAATAGTTGTCTGTACTATTGATACATCTTTCTCTAAGATCCGAGATATTCATGAACATTAAGAACATTGGTCATCCCGCTACACTGTGAACTATAGGCTCCTGTGTGTTTGTTATATTATTGCATTTCCTGTGTTCCAATCTTTTCTAGATTCTTCAATCTGGGAATTAACAATTTTGTAATATCCTATGACCATACAAAAACAAAACAAAAAGAATCCACCCCTCGGTAAGGAAAAAGTTCTACTTCAGTGTGTTTTGAGAGGCTTCGTCACACCTCTAAAGCGCACAACGTATAATCAACTTTGGGGAAAAAAGCGGAAGAAGCAACACGAGGCCAACCCAGAGAAGTGGACAATGAAGAACCACAGTATACTGTAAGTTGGAAGAAATTGGGTTACTGCAGTGGGTCACGACAGCTCAAAATAGCTGTCCTAACGCTAGCTTCTCCTGCCCCCCCACTCCTGTCCTTCTTTACCTTGGAAAAGGTAGTAAATTAAACTAAGAATTAAGGAGTCTACAGCGTATGAAAGAAGTGAACAAGAGCTAAACTTTAATGTAATAAAAAAAACAAATAAGATCATTTGAAATAATTTGAAGCTGCTTATCGCCCACTCAAAAGCCTTGTGCTTATTCACAGTCATTATCTATATGAAACTGATTTTTAAAATGTGTTAATTTATTTCAAACATGCACAAAATATACAGACAATTATTCACAGAAAAATATCGTCGTAACAGAAAACAAGAAAACCTGTGCATGGTTTGAAATGAGGTTGGTCGGAGCAAAAAGCTTAAAATTCAAACCCAGGGTGCAGTTTGCCATAATTTTATAGGTGATATCAGTAACTTCCGTTTGAATAATGCATATTTTTCACCATATGACCGTGACCCAGTAGTATCAATTAAATTGAGGATTAGAAAATTCATTAAGTGGTCTATTCTTCAGCCCTGGTATAATAATAATAATAATAATGCATCGGTTTTATATAGCGCTTTTTTGGACACTCAAAGACGCTTCACATGTGTCATTATTCATTCACTCCATACACGGTGGTGATAAACTACTATTGTAGCCACAGCTGCCCTGGGGCACACTGACAGAAGCGAGGCAACCAGTATGTGCCATCGGCCCCTCTGACCACCACCAACCATTCACACACACACACCAGACTCATTCTAGGCAATGGGGGTGAAGTGTACAGCCGCAGCCGCCCCACTGTGGCTGGTGTTCCCAGAGGTTAAGTGTCTTGCCAAGGACACAACGACAGTAGTCAGTGGGAGTCGATGGTGAAAGTCTTGAGCGGGGATTGAACCCACGACCTTCTGGCTCAAAGGCCAATGCTCTACCAACTGAGCTACTGCCGCCCTCAAGGCTCTGGGCGCTGGGACTTTCTTTTCTAACTCCTACAAAGGTGCAGTCTATTTAATGTGTTTTAAGGGATTATATGTTGGGAGATCGCCACCTGTGTTTTTTCCTGTGACATTTACAGCTGTAGTGCACATGGTTTTACAAAGTGCATGGAAGTATTTTCATTAATGCGAGTGTGTGAGTTCTTCCAGCAGTGTACTCACTTCCTCTCCCTGCATTCCGCTCGCTCCAGCTCCCTCCCACGTCTTGTTCTTGTGGCGTTATGAAAGTGACCCCATGTGGGTGTTAATGAACAGAGTGTTTATGTGTGATCGGGAATGCATTTATGTGCCTTTTCCAATGGAATCTATGTAATCAGATCACACCATTATGAAATACATTATTCTTTCCAAAGTTAAGCAAAAATAAATAAGCACAAACAATATTGGTGTTCTTTAGTAATTGATTGATTGTTGATTGATAGTTTTTTCATTCGGGTGAAAAACAAAACAAACAACAGCAAAGGTTGAGGCTTTGGAGAGTCTACTGCTCCATTGAGGCTGAATTCTGGCCCACTTCCAAAACACGTGTCACAAGGACACAATGTCATGTGGTAAGACTTCAGTAGCAGGTAAAGCACCAGCAATCTACTTACTGACTTGTATGAAAAAAAACTACATTTAAAGTCTGTAATCTCAAAGTGAAAATGAGTCATGTTGGGGGCTGCTCTGCTGCTGACCCGTAGCCTGACCAGCCAGACCAATACAATACAACTAAACAATCAATCAGAGAAAACAAGTTAAAGCACAAGGCGTAACGGTAAGTCCATCTCCGTTGTCATGGCAACGGAGAACAGCCTGGCCATAATTTTGGTCTTTTGGTGCAAACTGGATGGAGTGACTGCAGCGCCGCAGCAGAGATGGATTAAAAGAAAATGCAGGTGATTCATAAGAAATGTAATGTGCGGCTCACATTCAGATGTGGATTTTGACATGTATAAAAACGATTAAGTAAACAAACACTTTTGAGAGTAATATCTAGGCTTTAGCCACTTATTTGATGTAATACATAAAATGCCCATGTAAACCTATAATGGTAAAGGGTGCAGAATATTTGAAGGTTATTCCAACTTGTCAACAGAGTGCCTCTCCACCCCTTGACCTTTGGGGTTCTATCGATCTGTTTGTCTTTTCCCTTCATTAACAAATAGCTAAAGTCAGAGCAAGAGCACGCACCTAGCAGAAGCTGAAGTATGAAAGCTGACAGCGGTGTACCTTGAGAACCATGGCCATCTAGAGCTCTAAGTGAAATGTCGCAGGTGAATGAACCGCATTACCCCTAGGTGGGGTGCTTAGCCTGGATGACATAAGTGTTCAGCCTGCAGGGCAGAGGATTGACCCGAAAAAAAGCTCATAATTCAAGGTATGAAAATACACTTCAAAGAGGAAATGAACCCTTCAGGCTGCCTCAGTGGAAGCTAAAGATAGCACTACAGGGCTACGTCAGTGTATATCCTGATCTGTTCTCTGACCAGTAAAGACACCTCTGATCAAAACACCGCTGTTTGAGAGTGCTCCTTTTTAAGCTTGAAGGCCATGAGCTGCGAAGGGCTTTTGTCTGAGGGCCATGTGTCAGTTACCATGTTCTGATAAAGTATAATGTATGGTCTCAAAAAGGGGCAACATTGTTGTTGTAAATAGACTTCCCATCCTCTTACATACTATATAAACTATATACAATTACTACATATGTATTTAGGACACAGCACCATCTTCCACATGGATATGTCCCCAACGAGGCTTCTCACGGCTGTATTCTTGTTTTCTGACCAATATTCTCTCAGCAAAACTTTGAGTCCACAATAGAATAACTGTAATCCTGCTGAGATTAGATTACACTCTACTTAATAGTTCAGTCAACAATTGACCATGACACTTATAAAGGCAAAGAGTTGCACTCAGAGGAATAATCATGTATCGTTCTGCTTTCACTCAACAGTAGTTTTTAAACATTTCTATCGTAGGTCTGGCTTCATGTATATGGTCATTGAGCCACATTTATGAGAGCTGTTTTGCATTGGAACCTTATTACATGCAATAGTGCTTTCTGCTTAATGTAATCATGTATATTTGATTCCATGGATTTGTATTTGTTTGTAAAGTTATTATGCCCGAAGTGATGCAGTTAATGCAGAGAGGTAATTTTTTTTTTTTTAGTAATGTGTTCGTAAGGGAATTTTTGGAAAGCCATTGTATAACTTCCAGTCCCCCTACAAACATAAAATGTATCTTATTGTGCATCTTTTGAGAAGTGCCCTCACCTCTCCCACCATGCCATTCCATGTCCCGTTGATCTTCTTGCCGTGTTTGCCGTTCGTAACCAGGTAAAGGTCGTAGGTGAACTTAACGGCCTTAGCGATCTTCTTGAGGATATCGATGCAGAATCCCTTACAGCAGCGCTTGATGTAGATGCCCACCGCTTTGGTTCCGTTGCTGCATCGGCAGAGAGACAGACAGATAATCGTTTAAGCAGCGGCTCCTGTCTGAAATGACCCCCAGCGTTAATTGTGCTGGTGATTTGGTGAGAGGGGCAGTGTCAGTCTGGCACTGATGAGGTGCGAGCTCATTCAGCTCCTGGCTCTGTTTAAGCTGCTACAGAGCGTCAACGTCATCACATCACCAACTTTAAACAGGCGTTGGTCACACAACATTTATTGGAGAAAACCTTGATGCAAATGCAAAAGAAAAAAAAGAAAGACAATTCCTCGATATGTGAGGAAAAGAATTAGGAAAAAACTGTACTGGTGCATATACTACAAAAAAACAAAACTAATTTGATTCATAGATCAGTGTATTAGACAAACTATTGTGTTTTAAATCAATATGCATGAGACAAATTCAGGACTATAAGCACAGAGAATGTGATTATTAATAATCAATGAATGCATGGTAAATGAATTGATGAAAAAACATAAATGTCATTTCAAAGAGCATGGCCATCTATATTAAAAAAGAGAGAGAGATCCTTACAGCCCCTTGAGTTGCTTGCGGCATGGCACAGTGTTCCGCATACAGGTGCCGCTCAGTGGATCCACGTCCTCTACGATGACAAACGGAGCCTCCTCCAATGTCACGATGGACAGGTGGTCATCCTGCCTGGTCGCCGCTCCCCCGTACAGTTCATAGCGAGGCCACACATGGTATTTCATGGACAAGGAGCCGTTTTCCCACTTGCCCACCTGAAGGGGAAATGACAAATACATAAACGCATTAACTACCAATGAAAAACCTAAATGTTGATATTTTAGATTAATTATTGATGATTATGAATGCTAAATTTGGGGGGCCATGTACATCCAAATTGAAGCCATGTAAATCAAAGAATTACATGTAAGAAATGGGACGCATTTTTTATTGCCACAGGGTAAAATTTGGGCTGGGCCGACTAGCAAAGGTAGTAACGCTCAAATTAGTAGAAACAAAAAACTAGACACTGTTAAATTACTGGTCACAGGCTTCATGTTTTATGTGTCAATCAATATCCCGGCAATAGCATGCTTCCATACACTTCAGAGTACAGACACATGCCTCCAGCCTCTTCCCTGAACTGCTGCTAATGCAATTCCAATGCTTCTCTAGGTTTAAGGGAAGGGGCAGCAAGAAATATTAAGCCAAAGGTGTGGTCTCTATTGTTGGTGCTACAGCTCAGGTTAATCAATTTTAATTGTCTGTATTGAGCACGTACATGCATTATATTATTACATATTCCCAACTAAATTACCTTTTCCCAAACTAACTAATGTGGAACTAATTATTTTCCCAACCTGGTTCTCTAAGCATGTTAGAAAATAAAACGTATCATTAGATACAGTAGATCATAAGATAAGATAGACTTTATTGATCTCACACTGGAGAAATTTGGCAAATTTTGCATAGATAGAATCACTTAGATTGTGCAAAAGACAGAAGTGTGCAACATGTTAATGGTTAGAAATATACCCTGTGCAGGATATAATTATCCACAATACAAAAGTGACAATAAAAGAAAGAGTGGCAATAGCAGTGCAGTTTATTCAGTCCTTGTGCATTAGTGACTTAAAGAGACTTAATGTACAGTCTGACAGCGGTGGGGATAAAGGCCCTGCGGTAGCGCTCCTTCTTGCACTGAGGGTGCCTCAGTCTTCCACTGAAGGAGCGCCTCAGCTCTTCTACAGTCCTGTGCAGTGGGTGGTGTTGTCCACCCTCCTGTCCCTCACCTCTTTCACAGAGTCCACGCTGGTCAGGAGGGCCGCTTGTTCAGTCTACTGAACAAGACTGGTCTGCACAGGTCCTCAGCTGATCCTGTCCGATTCTGTGGATTTCCTCTGCTTCAGTCACTCACCTGATGGAGTGGGGGGAGAATTGAACCAGTTGAAATATTAGTTAACTATTCCTCTGGAACTCTGTCCGAATCCGGAGATGTTCTTTAGGCCTCTCCACACGTCATGGGCGTTTCCCTGCGCCAGCTTCTGCTCAAGCTTTTCCCCATAGACCTTTTTGGCCTTCCTGATCCTCCACTGGAGCTCGTGCTGGATCCTCTTCTGCTCCTTTGTCCCCTGAGATGAAAGCCCTTTTCTTCAGGTTCAGGAGGGCTTTAAGCTCAGGGTTCACCCATGGGTGGTTGTTAGAAAAACACCGTACAGTACCTTTCCGGTCGGTACAGTGATGTCCACACAGAAGAGAATATAGACGGTTATGCAGTGTGTCAGGCTCTCATTGTCATCTCCATGAGAGCTGCAGATCATGTCCCAGTCTGTGCTTTGTAAACAATCTTTCAGTCTCTCCTCAGCCTCTTCACTCCACACTGTAACAGACTTCTTCTGAGGAGGAGTGTATTTCAAAAATAGACGGACCAGAGAGTGGTCCAAGCGTCCGAGCAGGCATATGCGTCTCGGACATTAGCATATTTAAATGTCGGTTACAAAAGATTTAAATATGAACATACTGTAACATTTAATATTAAATCTGTAACTGTCTGTTAACCACATTTTTAGCTATTCATCTTTTGACTTCAATTCAATTCAATTTATTCTTGTATAGCCCTAAATCAAAATAGAAGTTATCTCGGAGGACTTTACACAGCCATTGAATTCGCAAACACAGATCAAGGTAAAATTAAAGGTAAAGGTGTACTTTAATTTAAATCATCCCCCGCATTTGACCCATTCTGATGCCACCAGGGCATCTATCAGGAGTAGTGGTCGCCGTAGTAACAGCACCCGGGAACCCATCTCCAGATGTTGATGTTTGGCTTGGTCAGGACTACCGGAGCTGGAGGATTTTACGTATTGTACATGTTTTTTTAGTGGTAGGGGAAACTGGAGCACTCGGAGGAAACCTACGCAGGCATAGGGAGAACATGCAAACTCCACTCAGAAAGACCCTGTTACAACCGGGATTCGAACCCAGGACTTGCTGAGAAGCGAGAGTACTATCCACTCAGATAGTGAATCAAACACAAGAAATGCAATGATAGAAAGCACATAAAGCCAGTGGTCCATAAAGGGCAGATGACTAATGTCCATGAATATTGATAAATGTCCATAAATGTCGTTGAATGTTGAGGGTTGAGTGTTCTGGATCATAACACTGTCCCTATATTATGTTAGATCCTCCTGCATCGGCAAGGAAAAACTCTAAAACCCAGTGGGAAAAGGTGAGAAACCTCGGGGACACCCACATTGAGAGAAGGGATCTGCTCACACGGAGAAACAAGCAATAGATCTGACTTGTATGTGCAACAGACAGGGGAAATGAGCTGGGGCAAGACACATAACTGTGTTAAAAAAGGACAGTGTAGTCTTTAAAGGTGTATAGGAGGAATTTTGACAAAGAACCGCCCTCTCCACTTTTTGAACAAAACTCTCTAATCTTATTTGACGAGCACGTATCTCCAGAATGATTGACAATTGGGAGGACTAATCGTCTTGACGATCCACCCGGAAGTAGAAAATCCTCCTATATACCTTTAAATATGCAAATGCACACACATACACACTCTGCTCCGAGGCGTGCTAACAAACTTGGCAAGGCTGCCTGGAGTGGACAAGCTAACACTGTGTATCCCTGGGGCTCAATGCTGCCTTCTTCTCTCTGGGCAGGAATGCAGAGCCAGACTAAATGATGGACAGAGACAAGAAAGAGAACAAAGAAGCACGAGAAAACAAAAAGGGAATAAATGGGTTAAAATCGGCCTGCAGGGGATTAAGGACTGGACACAACACAGCCTTCATAACACTTCAATAAGTGTGGGACGGGTGTATAAACTCAAAACTCATTCAAATCTAAGAAAAGTGGTCTGCTATAAAAGTCAGGATCAGAATTAAACATGAGTGAGAGAGCCAGGGGACGGCTGAGGAGAAATAGAAAGAAAGAGAAAGGACGAATAGAGCTGAGATGGGAGCCATTCACCTTGCTCTCTGCCTAGAGGACAGAATTTAGATTAGAGACAGCAGTAAGAGAAGAAGAAGAAAAGGACAGAGAGAGGAGGGGCAGACATATGCATTGTGTTACTGAACGATGCAAGTCACACCAGGTTTGATTTTGGATTCTGATGGAAACAATGGGAACTTGACACAACTCTCCTATTTTTTGTTTATACACTGTGTCAGCTTTAATTTGAGGGTATTTACATCATTTGTAGACATTTACAGGGTGCATGGTCATTGAGTGGGTCGCACTGATGCGACAGCCAGAAGGTTCAAAGCTCGATCCCGGCTCCTCACTCCACACTTTCCTCCAGGGCACTTTCAACCACCCTAAAAATGCACCATGGGTAAAATCCTCTCGCTCCGGAAGTCCTGTCCAAGCCAAGCATCAACATCTGGAGATAGGTTTCCGGGCGCTGCGCTGTACACTTTAACATTACAAAAGTTTTTATGTGTGCCACAAACTAACAAAAAGGCATAATTTCACTTGTGTTGGTCAATTACAGCCAAACTCTTGAAGACATCACAACAATCACAGAACACATAGCAGAGAAAAACACATATATTTTGTTGTATGCCCTCAATGTTTTCGAGTTTCATGATATAGTTACAAAATAATAGTTTGATAAAGGATTTCTCTCAACAAGTTGTTTTTTGACATCTGTTGTACTTGAACAGAAGACAGCCCTGATCTGGTCTTCCTGCTTTTGATGCTCACCAATCGTTTACATCTTGTGCCGAACCATCTCTCTTCCCTCCAAAGAAGTATTCTCTTGATCGTTGACACTGGCACACAAATGCCTACTTCTCGTGAGTGTTTTTGAGCTGTCTAACTCTTGGGAAGGGTTTTATCATCCAGGTTTTCCAGGTCTTGATTGAGATTTTATAGATTTTTCTTTCTTTAAAAGAATGTTCCAAACCTCAGCTTTGAGCACACTTCTCTGATGAATTTGTTTTAATTTCAGGTTTGTGATGTTTCATTGGCCAGTGTTTGAATTCCATTTACAGTCAAATAAATCAAAAGATTGTATAATCCCCGCAGAGACACACACAGTGGTGTTAATTCATTTGTACTAAAAATCTTACCCTGTCCCACTGTCTCTCCTTGTTTAGCAAAATTATGACAAGCTTTGGGTGCATCTGGTATCCGTCCTCACTGAACGACAGATTACGGCCCTCGAACGTCACATTCATCAGGTACCTGTAAAACAAAGCCCAGGGAAAAGGCTTCACTGATCATTTCTGACCACATTGATCCTGTACAGAAATCTATGATAATGATGATGTGATAATTTGTAATAACCACCACCAGAGATATATGCAGTAGAATATATGCAGGGAGCCATTCAGCAAGCAGGAGGGGTGATGGGTGGGTATGGATGAAACTCTGAGAATTAGAATGTCAAGTGTGAAACCAATATATGAGATATATATTAATATATGCAAAGTGACTTATGCCAAGCCTTTGTTTTTTATCATTTTGATGATTTTGGGCGTTAGTCTTCAGATTCAGATTCAGATTCAGATTCATTTATTTGCCATTTGCAGTAAAACCACATTGGAAAAACTGTGCAAGACTACCCCGGTGTGCACCAGACAGAGAAGACGACACACACCAGAGCTCTTGCCACGGCGCCATCTTTACGGCGCCATGCGACAAATCTTCAAATTATTTTAATTGTTTACAGGCTTTTACAGCAGTTAACCGATTATCAATTGTAACAAAAATGATTGATAAATGTCACTACGTGTGTAATGCGTCATATTAGTTTCACATTGTAAGTAGAATTGCAAAAGTAAAAGGACTTTTAAACAATTTTCTGAGTTTCATCTGTATGTTGTGTTAGCATTTCCACATATCTGACATTCAGATATTTGTTAGAGACGTACGTAAAATGTTGTTACTGTTTATTCTTTTACTGTCTAACGCTCCGAAACTCATGATAATTATTATTGGTTTTAAAATACTGTTTAATTGTGCTATATTATCAATAAAAACCTTCTGATTATGTCCTTACACCTGTCCTACATGTCCTAATCATCTTACTCTGTCCAGTAGGGAGCTCCTGCCGGAACAAAGCTACACCTATATAAGTGAAGCCTGGCACACTGTGTCGTGGCTGGACCACTGCATCACTACAGAGGATGCTCATGCTGCTCTGTCGGCCATGAGCATCTTGTATGAAATGTCCAGTGCAGATCATATCCCTGTATCAATGGTCATCAGATTTGGCATAATACCCACCATGCAGGAAGTTAAACATATTGAAAGTAAACACCTGGACTGGTCTGCTCTCTCTTCAGAAGAGCTTGCCTGTTATTGTGCTCACACTGACATGTTGCTAAATAATATTGCGCTGCCAAAAGGAACAGTTATGTGCTCTGATTACAATTGTACAGATGCTGGTCACAGGACATCTATTTCTGTTCTGTACTCCGACATTTCTTCTGCATTAATTGAATCTAGTGCGCCTTTTTGTAAATACAGAAAGAAAGGCCAAATAAGACCTGGTTGGAACTCTCATGTGGCTACTTCCCATGCTGAAGCCCGTGACGCTTGTAAGGCCTGGGCGACTGCAGGAAAACCCAGACAGGGACCTTTGTTTGAGCATAAAAAACGTACAAATGCACAATATAAGTACGCCATTCGATTCCTATGTAAAAATGAGGAAACAATACGGGCTGACTCCATGGCCAATAAGCTTTTAAATAATGACACCAAGGCCTTCTGGAAGCAGGTCAAGGGTATAAATAATAGCAAACCCTGTCTACCTCACACTGTAGATGGAGTCACTGGGTCCCACTCTATTGTAGAACTGTGGAGAAAACATTATTTTAAACTGTTTAACTGTGTCTCAAGTGAACCGTACACTGTCAACAATGTTGACTTTGTGGATTCAATTAAAGTGCATGAGGTACAACAAGCTATTAATATGCTATCAAATAATAAATCCACAGGAATGGATCATATATGTGCTGAGCATCTTAAATATGCTAGTATGAGGTTGGCCCCTCTTCTGGCCATATGCTTCTCTACCTTTGTTGTACATGGTTTTATCCCAGACTCAATGATGTCTGTGTTATTGGTTCCTGTGATAAAAGACAAAACGGGGAAAGTGGGCAACTCTGATAATTACAGACCAATCGCCCTGGCAAATATACTGTCAAAAACATTTGAGCAAATCCTTGTGAGCAGACTCAGTGTTTACATTGGCTCCACGGACAATCAACTTGGCTTCAAAGCCCATAATGGCACTGACATGTGTATTTATGCTTTAAAAGAATTGTTAAGTAAATATAAGTGTAGACAATCCACTGTTTTTATGTGTTTTTTAGATGCCTCCAAGGCTTTTGATCGTGTTAACCATGCCAAATTGTTTCACAAACTATGTCAAGCCAATGTTCCTAAATATGTAGTTCGTTGCCTGTCTTACTGGTATGCCCATCAGACTCTGGAGGTCAAATGGGATAACTGTGTATCTGCACCCTTTCAGGTCAGCAATGGTGTGAGACAAGGGAGTTTGTTGTCTCCAATTTTATTTAATTTTTATATGAATGACCTTTCTAAAGAATTAAACTGGTGTAGAACAGGGTGTGTCGCTGGGGATAACATCGTCAACCACTTGATGTACGCTGATGACCTGGTGATTTTCAGTCCGAGTTCAGCTGGTCTCCAGCAGCTGCTTGATGTGTGTTCGGCGTACGGTGAACAAAACAATATTAAATATAATGAAAGGAAAAGTGTCATAATGACCTGTCGAACCAAAGAGGACCAAGCCCTGGTGTTTCCTGACTTTAAGCTCTCTGGAAACATCCTAAAAACTGAAAGCACGGTGAAATATCTTGGTCATATCCTGACAGATCGTCTGTCAGACGATGAGGATATGTATCGACAGTGCCGTATGCTGTACGCCCAGGCTAATATTTTGTTGCGTAAATTTGGACACTGTTCTAATGCAGTAAAAGTGGCTTTGTTTCGGGCATACTGCACCCCGCTTTACACCGCTCATCTGTGGGTGAACTATAAAAAGTCCAGCCTACAGAGACTGAAAGTGGCCTACAACGATGCCTTCAGACTGTTGCTAAAAAGGCCCAGATGGAGCAGCGCTTCTGAACTTTTTGTGTCCTGTCAAGTGAACTCACTGCAGGCCAACTTGAGGAACCTAATGTACAAGTTTATGTGTCGCCTGGACAATAGTGCAAATATGATGATTTTAGTGTTGACGAGTAGAGCATACAGTGATGTTCGTTATACCTCTGCACTGTGGAAACACTGGTATAGATGCCTCCTCTAAAGAGATTTGGGGACTTTTAATTGTTTTATGTTGTCTGTTTTCTAGTGTGTTGTGTTTTGTCTATTTTTTGTGTTTTGGACTACGAGTCTGTAATAAAAGCTATCTATCTATATCTATCTTACACACAGACAACACAATGCAAGCCACAAGCCAAAATAGTCTTTCTGCTAGACAGACTTCTTTGAACGTTTTTCACATAGATGTAGAACATCAAACCGAAACTATGATCAGAGAAAACCATGCTGTTATTTCTGCGATTGTGACAGAGCAGCATTGTTCCTGTCCACTGGATCCTGGTCACCTCTTGTTGTGTTTGCGCTGATTGTTTGTATATGAGAGCAGTCATGTTTACCTCAGGACCACACACATCCTCTATCTTTGCCCTCCCCCATCACTGTAGCTGTTTCCACAGCAACGCGTGGCCACAAACCTGTGCTCCTATTACATTTTTGTTGTGAACGTGAACAGTTTATAACTGCTACCTTTTGTTCAAAAGTGCAAATTTCACATGTAAATACAGGGCCACAATCTCTCCAGAGAGCATCATGTTTGCTCCAATAATGTTGGTTTGTTTAATGTATCAATTTACAGTGATTTTAAATGAATAATTAATCATTTCAAGTCATTTTTATAGAAAGTATATTACAAATCTCTTAACTGGTGAACGTCTGTACAAAATCCTTAAAATCTACAGACATTATTTATAGATCATTTACAAGGAGCCATACAGTGTCCTTTCTCCTGGAACACACAGAGATGAATAGGAACTGCTGTAGAAAACACTCACTGTCCTTTTATTATTTATTTGGTAAATACTTTTTCACTTTGAGTTAGTGACTCCCCTACATTCTACATATGCGTGTGTGTGTGTGTGTCTTTCGAAGGTTTCTACACAGCTTGCAAATGATGCAAATTTACACAACTGAAAAACTACCAAGACACATTTTTGAGTCAAAATCTTAAATTCTAAACTTGTGAAGTCACAAACCAAATGTCTTGTTGCAATAATTTCTGCAAAAGGGAGTTCCACATTTTTCTTTTACTCCACTGCAAAACATGATGATCATATAAATATTATATATATATATATATATATATATATATATATATACATATATATATATATATATATATATATATATATATATATATATATATATATATATATATATATATATATATATATATATATATATATATATATATATGCCCTGAGCACCAGAGCGATAGAGGCCCGGATATACCACACCAGACAAGACCCAAGGTGTTGGGTTGTGCAAAGAGGCACCTGAGACGATCCAACACATAACTGCAGGGTGCAAGATGCTGGCAGGGAAGGCCTACAGTACATGGAACGCCATAACCAAGTGGCTGGCATAGTGTACAGAAACATATGTGCAGAGTATGGGCTGGAAACTCCAAGGTCTAAGTGGGAAACCCCTCCAAAGGTGGTGGAGAATGAGCGTGCAAAGATCCTGTGGGACTTCCAGATACCGACCGAATGGTAATGGCGAACCAACCTGACATCGTGGTGGTAGACAAAGGGCAGAGGAAAAAAGCTTGAGAAATACCAAGGTCTCAGAGAGGAGCTGGAGAGGGCCTGGAGGGTAAAGGTGACAGTAGTGCCCGTGGTGATCGGTGCACTCGGGGCAGTGACCCTGAAGCTAGAGGAGTGGTTACAGCGGATCCCTGGAACAACCTCGGACATCTCGGTCAAGAAATGTGCAGTGCTAGGAACAGCAAAGATACTGCGCAGAACCCTCAAGCTCCCAGGCCTCTGGTAGAGGACCCGAGCTTAGAGGAGAGCGAAAGGTGAGAATCTTTATATATATATATATATATATATATATATATATATATATATATATATATATATATATATATATAAAATGTATATAAAATGTTGTCGGTGAGAACAGAGACAAACACAAGCGTGTATGTTGCCATAGCATCCACAACTGATCAGCTGCGTTGCTATGGCGACAATAATCTCACAGAGGGAGGAGGTGGAATTCAAAGGAAACAGAAAAGGGACATGACAAGAAGCTCTGCTTAGCGCTCTTAAATCTTGTACAGTACAGTATCAAAGCTCATGCGACACCTCTCACAGCCCACTGAGCTGTTCCGGCGGGGCAGCTGGTGCTAAGTGCCCTGTTCCCAACTCGATGACAACTGCACTGCTCTCCCTGCCGTGCAGAGAGGCTAATAAACACATTTCCAGAGATGCTGGCTGGAGGCAGGCTGCATGCTACGGTTCATTCATGGTGCACTGGCACAGCGCGGCACACGCCAATGTAGCTATTGTTTTTTTCCATCTGACTACAGCTGATGATTTAACATTCACAGTACAGCAACAGCTGTCTCCACCTTGTAACTGTACAGGCTGAGCTCCATTACATCTGCGCTCTCTTTGTTTCTCTTTCCTTAGTCCTGTTTGACAAAAAGGTCTGCCATAAATCAGAGCTGGCTTTCTCTCTTTCCCATTAACATCCGCTAACCTATGTTTTGTGTGAATAATAGATTAGTCATATTATAATATTTAGGATTAATTTAAAATAAGTTAAACCATGGTATAAATTAATAATGAATTACACAATATAGCAATTATCATATAGTGCAATGCATTTAATGGGTTTAGCAACGGGGAATCTCTATGTTGAGTGATAACATGTCCCATATGGCAGCGAACTATGTGTGTCAGGAAGTAGCAGCACCACACACACCACAGGTCTACAAGCGATTGTGGGGGAAGGTGTTGATTTGGTGGTGTACAATCAAGTTTATGTGCATATGCACCTAGCAGACTCTCAAGAATCCATGTGAGTCCCAACACAGAGATACACAAAAGAGGAACAATTTACAACATTTTTATATATTAGCCGGTAGAATCAAAGCACATTGTTTCTCACAATATGATTTGTTACTCTAATAGCCTGAAAACTAATATTTGGAAAGCTGACAGCTAAGGCAAGTAGAAACAAATGTAACCAGTCTAATGTAGATAAAGATGAAAAATGATAAAAAATAGACGTAGAAGAAACACAGGTATGAGGATAAATAACAGCCTCAGATTTATAGACAGATAAAAGGATTTGTGAAATGAGATACGGCAGTAAGGGGGGCTGGGTTAGAGCTGGAGGATCCTGACCTACTTCTACCAGACTTCTTAGCAAACAGGTAGTTTTCAAACACTCAGGCTTCATGGCCTGGTAATCGGCAGACTCACGCTCCACCAGCAGCAGCCCAGATCAGGCAAAAACTCGGGCAGTCCAGGATAAGGCTTTTATCAACAACGGATGACATGATGCAGGTTCGGCGTGGCTCGCTCTACAACTATGCTTTGGGGCCTGTCAAATATAATCATAATATTGCATTAAAACTGTTGCATCAAAGCTGAAGGAAATACTATAGGTCTGGTCAACGTTTTTCCTGCTGTGACTAATTTAATTAGAAGTGCAAAAGGATTAAGGTATAACCACAGATTAACCAGTGACCAGTTCGTCTATTTCTCTCAAACAAATTTTCATATCTTGAGTGAGCACTTGCGGACAAAGGCCATCACCAAACAAATTTAGTTAAGGTAGCAAAGGGCAAAGGATCTTAGCGATGCTCCTGACTAATCCAATCATCGACACAGCTAAGTCGATTAGAAAACCCCAGGTCTGGAAGCTCATGGTGACAGAGTAAGAAGAAAAGTGGGAGGGTGTTGCACCTAGAAACCAGAACTAAAGGCAGAAGGCAAGTCTTCAGGGCACAGCAGTAGGATATGGCTACGCTTCAGTCAACTTGAGTGTTGAATTGACTTCTGAGGGCAGGACTGGGATGTATAACAAGCCTGGTTGTCTTAGAGCAGGTGGCAGGTCCGAAGCATAATAACAGCTGTTGAAGGGAGACACTACAGTAGATTGCAACTGTACATGCTTGAGGTCCAATAAAAGCAACAAAAAAAAAATCATAATAATAATATATCATGTTAGTTTTGTCCTGGACCTGTGTGTGTTTCGGTGTGTGTATCAGTATAGCAGCAGCTCCTTGTTGAGTCCACAGGAGGATGGATGCTTCGTCAGTGATGTAGACAGCCTTGGTCTTTCAGGCTTTCAGGTGTCTTGCCCAGAGAGACAGCAGACAACAGTTGGAGGAAACATGTCTCATGGGGGCTATCAAACCCACAAGAATTAAGTCATGGTCACCTCTTTAGTGTTCAAATTGAAAATAAATACAGAACTGATAACAAACTAATTTAATTTCAGTAGCCAAACAGCTGTTACTCTTACATCCCGCGCCTCAGTTTTATCTCTAACCCAGTCAAAAAACACACAAACCCTGATCTCCTGTGGATGGAGTGCAAAGGGCTGACACGGACTGTGTACATAACACTGTGCTGAAGACTGAAGCGATCGGGGCTACTGTTCTCCCCCTCAAACGCCATTGGGACCAATTAGGCAGTGCATGGACCAAAGCGACAGCATGCAGTGCGCCCCACAAGCGGTTCAAAAGAGCATGGGTGGAGACTGACAGCTGAGGGGGCAGGGCCTGACGTTTGCAGAGAAGGGTGTATGTGAGTGGAGGGTGTTATTACAGGGGTGGATGATCACAGTATGCAGAGGTGCACTTGTGTGACTGGATCAGCAGCTGCATGCTCTTTTATAGTGAGATGTGCTCTGGATGTACCAGCTGGACTTGTGTACTGCTGAGTAGCATTTACCAAACAAAACATGTAATTATAATAGCAAGAAAATCAAATGAGATATGCACTATAGCCCTCAGAAAAAGGCCAAATTGTCCTATTTCTTCTCCGCCCATATATATATAGTTGTTGTCCAGAGGTGTTGTACCTTCCTTCTGAGCTGAGATAACATTTTAATTGAGCTAAACAGTGAATACTCCAATAGATAATGCTCCATCCAAATTGAAAATATCTGTGTATTATGTCTCAAAGTATAGAAAAACGTTTTCAACTAAAGCAGAGTTAAGAACTTAATTTGATTTAATCTCACCTGAGCACTTCATTGGGGTTGCCTGAGATTGGGGTCTTCTTGTCCGGAGCACCATGGCACTCCGACTTGAGAAGTGTGTGCGGGCCCCTGTCCATCATCATGGTGGAGGTGGCCATATTGATGATTGCCACCCCATCACGAACTCGAGCCTCCAGGCCATAGTCCCACTCATCATAGGACACAGAGAGCAGACCTGGGCAACAGGACAATCAGGGAGGATAATGAGGGTACAAAAAGTGGGAAAAAAGCATGTACAAGCTGCAGATGAGTGGAGTAAAGCGGCTTGTGTGATGGTCTATCACTGCAGTGTTTGTCCATCTGTTTGTATATGTTTGTGTGAGTGTTTATCTATCCTTCTGCCTGCCCCTGTTCTGCTCTGTTTATCAATGCTCACTGATTCGTGCGTACTGCTGCTTCAACACGTCCTGGACCCAGAATGACAATGGGAGAAGGACATTTTCTTTCCTACCTCTTGGTTTGGAGGAGGAGACTTGGGCCAGAGCAAAATAAAATACCACACATCAGGAAAAATATGTTCTTATAAGCACTTACTTTATTATTCTTAATATTACTCTTGTATGCCAGGTCAGTTGTATTAAAGTATAACAACAACAAGAATAATAAACATAATTGACATCATATAGTGACTCTTTTATTTTTGTAAAGTAATTTAGTAGCAATAGACTTCTGATGTCATACAATTAAAAACATTGTTGTCTTACCCTTTGAGTAAACACTGACTTGCTCATGGAACACACAATGCATGCTGTTTTTCCAGTTGTATTGAAATGAAACGACATTTATTAATAACATGATTAAATCATGATAAATAATGGGCATTAATGAATGACAGTGTCGAGTCTTTGCATGTAGTTGATCTCTTTTTAACGACCACTTACATAATGATCTTGTTCCCTCTGTATGGATTTGACCTCGGATCCAAGCACAAGGGTGCTCACTCTGGATATGTACTGTACGTTATATACCATTTATACATGTCCAGTTCAAGTCTACAACAAGTCAATAAGTCCAAGATGTTTCAGCTAGTGCAAGGTCCCTGAAAATGCAAACCGTCTAAGATAATTTCTCAGCATCAAACTCAGATATTATTTCTAAACAGACTCACTGAGTTCTCCACATATTGTGGAAAATAGCTGTCCACTGATTTGCTGATTTAATAGTCTCCTCTCTGTCCAACAGCGACAGGGTGTAAGCACACGTCAGCCTCAGAGCTCTCGTGTCAGTGGGCTGAAATAGACAAGCACCCTGGTAACCTCCGCTCTCCTGAGGCCAAGGCAACTGACAGCTCCGGCCCAGGACCACGTCTAATGTCACACACTGTTGACACTATCTCTGCACTCAACCACTTCCATCACTTGTTCCATTTTATACACTGATTTAAATGGAGCACATCCATTCAGGATTAGTGTTACTTACACCACACAGCATTGCGATGTGAAAATTAGAAATGAGAACAACTTCTATTTATGTATTGTGACGATGCAGTATTGAGTATTGAACCTCAGGTATAACCTCAAGCTAAGGTAGTCTTAACCCAGGTTTGGGTCACAGGCACTGTGCATCCTCTGCTCCTGAAAGGTTGCCCTCGTGACATTGGAAGGATGGGTCAAATGGAGAGGACAAATTTCAATAAGCATGCAATTATTTTAACCTAAACCCTGTAACTCCATCTGTATTGGTTCATTTAAAACTAAAATGTGAATTCATTTGAAGTTAGAATGAGATATTTTTAGCATTATTTAATCAGTAATGACAGTTTGAGTAAACTACAGGGACCTTTCATAGCAGTGAGAACGCCTCTGATAGAAAAAAGCGCAGAACAAACATTTGATAGTGAGCATTCAAGCACAGATAACAAGCAACAACAAAGGCCTCAGACAGTGGATGTTTCAGCACCACATCCACAAGGCCAAGATATCATCCTATTAATGAAACAGGTCACAACAAGCATTTTCACTACTGTGAGAAAAGTTACATAGCATTAAAGGTGAAAGTAAAATGTTCTAGAAATCTGAGGACAAGGTAAATGAAAATATGAACCACCCCTGACAAGAAAGATTTAACACATTTTGTTTGCTTTCATGTGGGTGCACAATTGGAAACAACACATAACAATAATTGTGTCCCCTTAGCAAGTGATTTATTATGTTGCGGTTGGACAGTAACTCAATCTATAAATATCTATCCGATATTTACATTGCACGAGGTGCCCATCGTTTGGCTGGCAGCATTGTCACATCTTTCATCATTGACATTTAGCCTACAATCTGTCATCATGTCTCACATGATTCATCCCTTAATAATTCAATGTTAGCGAATGTTAGTTCTGTGTGTGTCAATCACAGCCTCCATACCAGCTCGACTCTTTCAACACCTAGTGCATGAGATTGTTAAAATCATCACCGACAACATAAATAAAGAATTGTAGATCAAACTTTATGAAGTGGAACTACAGTTTAGAAATAGAAACCAGAAGCGTAAAGCTGTTATACATGTTGTTGTTTGTTTAGCAATTTAAACCAAATCAAGCATTTCACAGACAAATGTCGAGAACAAAGCACCTCTCCCCACTCCACCCTTTAGAGCAAATCATCCATGGATGTCAATACCAGAACCCAGGTAAAAAGTTTGAGTTATGGTGCATGTGGTTCCCAGAAAATGCTGAGGACAGGCAGCAGTGTAATATCCACCTTTCACTATAAATCAGCGAGCCAAAGCCCAACAAATTATCAGGCGTGTATGACCGCCACAGATATACTGCCCCCTGTCAGGTTCCAGTCGTGAAAAGTTCTATTATTTCTGAGAGTGAGAGCGGTGCTAGGAGGTAAAGTTTGGTTCCTGCGGAGATCTGGCCTTTCTAGTGGCTGGGGCCACCCCCAGGAGCTAAAATACTCTTGGCTTGCACTGAAAAATGTGTGTTGCAAGGAGCAGACAGGTTATTTAACGCGCACTTCTGCGTCCCTGTCTGACCTTCAAAGGTTACACTGACTTACAGCGGGGATGCATTTATGCTGGGGTACCTTACTTTTGTAAAATACATAATACTTTTAGTTTGTACTAATAGAAAGAATCTTGTGGTACTCTCTGAATAATGTCTAAATATGTGGCAGTAGCCAAAACATACATGCGTGTGAAAACTAGTGATCCAGGAAGTAGGCAGATTTTTATATATATTCCAATATATTCAAATGGTACCTGGACGTACTAGAATCAAGTTTCTATCTTCAGTGAAATGAAATAAATGAATGTACGTACAGTGTGTCTTAATGAATAGTTGCTGCTGAAAAAAACACTCAAGACGAGTCTTATCCTTATTATATTGTAGTTGAATCCATTCATCTCTTTTAGCTGAGTTAATGAATGCTGTTACATTTTTCATACAAACTTGGACCAAATGTGTGGCGAGAAAAGCATGAATTAATTAGCAGTTAATTAGCCGCTATATACCTGTGGGGAACTCTGCAGGCACTACATCAGTGTCTCCTGCCACCAGCGAGGGCACTATCCAGGTAAAGCCATAGCCGGTGATGCCGACGGAGTGAGCCACCTCGAAGATGGTGTTGGCCTCCTCCTTTGTGCAGTAGAGGAGGATGACAGGGCTCTGGAGCTTTTTCAACTGGTTCTGGATTTTTGCATCGCCATCATCTACGGACATGTCAAGAAGTAAAACCTCCTCCAGTTCCCAGCCAACAAAGCTGTTCTCGATGGTGCTCCGGATCTGGAAGGAAACAGAAAAGAAAAATTCATGTTTGGAAACAAAACAAAACTTTTAATAAATGAATTACAAAGTACTGAGAAAAATGATAGAAACCAGGTGTTTAACATTAACTTAACACCGTGCCTCCAACCAATTTCTTTAAAAAAACAAAACTAACCTGCCAGTTTCCAAGGCTATAACATAATTATTTGGCCTTTACCCCATTGCAAAAAAGTGTGTAATTGTAATCAAGTAATAACTGACAGTTCAAACCACTGTATCTCTCAGCTCAATGGGCTGCCAATGATTAGTTGACTAGTAAAACTATCTTTTATTCAAGGTTATTTTTTATTAAAAGGTTGAAATACTCATAGAGAATACTATGTACTATATAGTAAGCAGACAATTGAAAACGATTTGGAGGAGGGCATAATCTTTTAATTGTTTTATTAATGTTATCACCCACTCATAGACTACACTGCACTATCCAATCTCTGATTCTCATTCTCTGCGTTTTTGTTCGGGTTTGTCACATCAAACCAGTCACACACTCATTTGATGGATGTTGTTCCTATGGCAATCAGTCACATTACTGTAGTAATGAGTGTGTCAGGAGAAGCACAGCTTTGTAATTGGTTTTGTAAGTTCCCATGACAACATGTTCATGTTTAAGGGGATGGAACCTAAAAAATGAGTTTTGACGGTTGTAGTTGTCTTCCCTTGTCATTTACAGAAAATTGTTTATGGGCATTTTTGAGTTCTTTATCTTTATATTTGCACGCCTTCATGGCTCTCCCCTCAGTCCTCTGACTGTGACACCTCACAGAGTTCCTTTAGCAATTTTCTTTTCTAAATCTGTGATTTGTGGAGGATTCACCCACCATGCAATGTCATTGTTGCTCAAAGGAAAAAAATAGAATCAAATCGCAACTTGGATGAGGAACCTTACATTAGAGCAGGTTTCCATGATTCTCCGAAAAAGGTTTACAAGAGGACTCAAGGTGGAGCTACGCAACTAATTTCTTCTACAATATTGCTTTAGCTAAAGAGCCACATGGGTGTAATATAAATTATCATATTATGGAACCATTTTCATTTTAATCTCTAACATTATTCAGTCTTTGCATGATAAAAGGTTTGTTCCATTTCTTCTCCACTGCGTATAAAGTCTGGTCCGAGCGCAGTTACCTTGGTGACAAAGTCCTGATAACCCGGGTAGTATGTGGTGACAATGGAGAAGATGTACCAGTCGTATTCCTCCATGATGTTGAGGATAACAGACGCCTGCTGCTCGATAGAGGGGCCAAACTGAAAGAACATTGAGTTGTCATCCTGAAAAACACAAATGATAAGAGTAGCAGGATTACCAAACAATATAATAATGGCAGCTATCATTTTGTGGGCTTTAAATAGTCAGATATGGCTCTATAATGTTGGTGCGAGAATAATTCTAAAGGTTTTATTGAAGAGATGTAGCACAGCCGGCTTGTAATGATACTGGTCATGACTTTCATTAGGGGGCTTTATGCCTTTTTTAATAAGCTTGTACACAGGGGTGGCTGGAGTGAAGTGTGCACCACCCTTGATAACATTGATCATTTCTCCTAATTTGTTTTACAGCGGAGCCATAACAATGACGAGGTAGTAAACTAATAATTGAACAGGACCGGCCCTGAGTCTCAAGTTACTCCTTAAATACTGGGACACCATGTCAGGGTTAATTGCGTTGGCTAAAATGTTTCGGTCAATGTAATATTTTTGCTGACTAAACTAAATTAAAAGTGACCTAAAAAAAGTGTGGGCTAAAAGCAAAAAAACAGATTGTTTACTTTCAAAACCCAGAGCTATGGGCCATGTCTATGAACAAAGCCCTCACAGTAAAAGCAAGAAAACTAATTTAACACCTTACATCTAATTTCCAACATAATTTAGGCTGTGGTCACATGCACAGCCTAAAGCCCAGTTAAAGCGGGCCTGAGCCCACTTCGCGTTTGGATCCGGGCTTGTGACTGCGGCAACTGGGCTGGGCACGGTTGAAATCGGTGGGCCAGAGCACACTTCTAAAGCCCAGATGAGGGGGTCAGTGTGGCGGGGAGTGGGAGATGAGGTGTGGTGGGGGATTTTCACACGCGCATTTTCACACACGTCTCTCCTGCACTTTCGTACTCTCCGCTTGTGTTAAAACCTTTCATAAAAGCCCCAGACCGTGGTCGAGGGGCTCCCTTCTGTCCTGGACAAGTGTGAAATTTGTCTTTCCCCAAACAATGCTGTTAGCGCTACAGTAGCAGAGTGTAAACAGGAAGAGAAACGGAAACTTAAACTTCAGGGACAACGAGGTCGATCCTGAAGTTAATATTAGCGCCACCAGCTGGACCGAGCGTTGTACTACAGCATAGTTGCTCTGGCACGTTTGCGAAAACACGTTCTTGTGACTGCGGGCCGTTTTCACACCCTTGTGGCGACAATCCGGGACACTTGGCCTAGTTTGTCCCTTAATGTCCAATGAAGCTGCAAAGACCCACCTACTTGGCAGTCCGGGCTTATCCAGAGGTCAAATTCTAATACATTTTTTACATTTCAAAATATAAAAACTAGGGCTGTCAAAATTATTGTGTTAACTCACGTTAATTACAGTTTTCATTAACGCATGTCTGAATGACCCGCCCAGTTATCCATAATATCACTCAGAATGCCGCGGACACTTGCGTGTGTGAGATGGCAACAGAGCAGGTAGGCCCTCTGGGAATCCAAGTTTTAAAAGAATACGCTCGTGACCGCATTGTTTGCTCTGAACTGAATCCGCCTCCTCTTGGGGCCCCCCCGGGTGTAGCTGCGGTTGTTGCGGTTGCTCTGGTTGTTGTTAGCTGGCTGTGAGCCGCTAACAACAACACAGTGAACGCCGCTGTGGTAATGTGGTCATATAAGACCATACACGCGCAGAACTATTCTCTGCATGTTGTGTGTGTGTCTTTGCAACCTGTGCGTAACCTGTGCGCGCAAATACACCGCGGAAGTGTCCGTGTCTCCACCTGAAACGCCACTAAACTTGCTAAAGCTGGGGTACGTAAATTTTCCCTTTCATTAACAGCTCATGTTGGTTGTGCCCAAAAGTAAAAGTACCGTTTTGGTAACGCTTTATATTAAGGTGTGCTTGTTAAGTATTAATAAGGTATTAATAGACATTAGCATCATGCTTATAGATTGCTTATATGTACTTATAAACATATTAATAAGCTGCTCATTTCACTATTTTCTAAATGATGTTGTTCTAGTTATACGCTTTTAAGCATTTAATAAGTAATTAGTAAGATACTTATTAAAGGAGGAATATGTTTATAATTATATGAATAAGCTGCTTATTAAACTATTATCGATACCATGTAAATAGGCCACTAACAATATGCCTATAAAGATATTAATAAGCTGCTTATTAATAGGCAATAGTGGTAATAGGCCACTAAAAATATGCGTTAATAAACTGCTTATTACACTATTTTGCAGTACCCTAATCTAAAGCGAGGAGCATTTTTGTTAATGCAGAAAAAAACACAACATTGATCTAAGATGTTTTTATTTATTCAAACAGCAACAATTACAGTCTAAATGAAAAAAAAAAAATCAAAATGAAGTTTGTGCCAAAAGGTTGTTAGTAACTTCAGGAGCCATGATGAACCCACTCATGCTCCGACCGGCTCTGTTCATGAATTTGGCTTTGGCAAAACAGTGAATCAACTGACTTCACGAGCCTGAGAGATTAGCGGAACTCGCCTATTTTTGGGCATCGTCTGGTCCTCCCGGTTCTGCGCAGTGGACGAGCTCCCATAATGCTTTGCGGCAAATACGCGTGCGTGGCTGTCATGCTCGTGCACATAGGGGCAGCTCTGACCAATCAGAGCTGCTGATCAGAGCGGGAGTTAGAGCGGGAGCCAGACGAGTAGAGTTTGTGGCAGTAAAATGTGGATTTAAAGGACAACTCACCCTCAAATCCACTTTTTTTTGCTTATAAACGGTATAAATGAGTGTCCAATGGTGTTGTCTACATCAGTGTTTTTCAACCACTGTGCCGCGGCACACTAGTGTGCCGTATGATATTGTCTGGTGTGCCGTGAGAAATTCGTCTACTTTGTCTAAAAATAACTGCATTCGCTGTTGACGAGCGGTGACTTGTTTTGAACTGTGGAGTAACCATGTAATACTTTTTCAAATCAGTAGATGGCAGCAGATAGCTAAGTACTTTGAAACTGAAAAATTGGATGCGACCACAGGCTGTAACAGGTCAGCATTGTGGCGAGAAAGGTAAAATTGGATGCGACCAACAAATGTGGGAGGGAGCGAGACAAGAGCTTTGTGGCGAGTGAGAAGTGAAAGTGATAGAGACGTTTTTGAAAATGAATTATGCCGTTTCTGAACAGGATTAACATCCTCCGCTCTGCCCCGGGGCAGCTGTGGCCGCGTTGTAGTGGTTTAACTATGAAATGTACAATTTTTGTACAACAGCTCTCGCGAACGCACTTCTGAACTGGGTACCGAGCGCAGACCATAGTCGAGTGGACAGAACCACAGACATGCGGACCGGACAGAACCATGGACTCGCGTTCAGGACCGCCCGTGTCCCTCATCCAAAACTCCTGAATTTAAAGCTCGGTATCCTAAATTTTTTCCATGCACTAACAATGCATGTTCTTTGTGTGAGTTATTATTTGACTATTTGGGCAGAGAGTGGATTTTCTTAGTTTTTTTCCACACAGTTAGTGCCACTTTATTCCCAAACTCTTGTTAATTGTATCGAGAAATATTAAATAAAGCTTAATGTCAAGGCCAGGACTTAAGCATTTTGATGAGAATAACTGTATATTGTGAATATAGGCTACAGAGTATACTGTATACATTATCAGATAAGATAAGATATACTTTATATATCACACAGAGTATGTACAGTATATATTTTTACATTAGTACTGTATACATTTTTACATTTTCTCCTGGAGGTGTGCCGCAAGATTTTTTCAGTGAAAAAAGTGTGCCTTGGCTCAAAAAAGGTTGAAAAACACTGGTCTACATATCCTCAGTGTTGTGCCAGTTCACAGCTTTTCTGAACTAGTTCAAGTTCAGTTCAAACATGCTCAAAGTGAACAGTTCACGTTCAAAGTTCACATTTTTATTTATGAACTAGTTCAAAGTTCAGTTCATTTAACTTTTTTCGTGAGATACTTAAATGTTTTTTTCACACTACGAGCTATATATATATATATATATATATAATATAATATATATATAAATATTATATATTATATATATATATATATATATATTAATATTATATATATTATATATATATTATATATATATCCTGTACACCCACAGGAGGAGAGCCTTTTGACTACAAAACAGACAAGATTTATATGGTTTTCAATGGGAGCAAAACGGAGTTGCTCCATCTCTGCTCATAAACTACAGACAGTAATGCGCTGCAGTGCGTGTGTCTATACTTTATGTCAAATGTAAACGGTGTAAACTTTGTCGCTAACTCACCCTGTGTTTTCATCACGACTCGGGCACATGTAAAAAGCACCAGCTCACAGCGCCGCACCGCAACACGGAGTCGGGGTGCGTTCACAGACAGTGGAAACCGTAGGAGTTTTTAGATTTCGGCAGAAAAAGTGCGAGAATAGCGAACTATCTGAATGACGTCACTAAGACACGCCCCCGCCGCCTGTCAACTCCCGCCCACATGTTTCGGACAAACACTGCCGAAATGAATCAAATACCACTTGTCACTTTAGACGAAAATGAAATACCAGGGGCAAAATTCCACCATCAAACCATCAGGGATCATAGTGTAGACCAATTATAACGTTGGCTTGAATGTCGTGGTCTTCCAGTAGAAAGTTTGAGTTGATAAAAAGATAATGGTAAGGATTATGCTAACATTATCTAGTCATTTAAATTGCAATGTTAGCGCCTTCTTTGTTTGTTTTGCTGTGATTAACTTTTTATCAAGTTTTTTTTTTGTGCACTATTTACTTTGTAATTAGTTTGATCATTAGTTAGCTACAGTCAGCTGATATTATAACAGATCCATGGGGTCACAACGGGTTACGCCACTACTGTCTCTGAGAGAGAAACTCAGAGCTAGCCACACTCAGTAAACGCAAATGACCATCAATCGACACATTTAAATGTTAATGGGAGAATACATTATACATACATTCATAACACAAGTGCACGGAGGTTTTCAGAATTATCTGTTCAGGTTTTCATGACAAAAATACTTTTTTAATGCAACTAAAGCGATCGCTTTTTTAAAGTAGGTTAACTAT